TTGACTTACTTCTCCAGTGACGCTCCTGGGGAGACTCTGCGTTCGTGTTTCTCCACTTGGCGTTCCCAGCGTCACCTATGTTAAAAATCACCTGACTCTTGAAGCCAGGCTGGAGCTACTCCAGCGATGAAGCCGGGGCATCGGAACAAACGTTTAATGAGCCCCTCAAGTGATTCTGACTGAGCTCAACCCTAGGAACCCTCCCCGGAGGCTCGCTGGGTTAGACTTAGTCAGTTTCCAGAACTCCGACTCTCCCCAGGTACGCTGCTGTCAGTCAAACACAGCTCCCCAAATGTTCAGACCTGTTTCAGAAAGGCTGGCTGGCAGAAGAAGCAGTTCGGCTGCCTCCTACTCTCTCACTTGACTCTCTCCTAGCGCCCCCCCCCCAAACTTCCTCTCTGACTGAACTGAAAGAGGTGCTTATAAAAACTCCATCTGCTCAGAGTTTTTGCCAGACAGTGAAGTCGGTGCCATCTTCCCACCTCTGCAGACAAAAATAGCCTTTCTGGGCCTGTCTAACTCTTAAGAGCCCTGTTACCTGATAATTGCTGCACCTCATGGCCACGTGGGTTCTCACAAGAGGGACTGCTTTGCCCCTGATACAATTAATGTTGGAAATAAACTCTTAATCTTGGGCAGAATGTTTATATATCATCCAATAGATCATGAATTTACAGTAGATAATATATCCATTGGTATAAATAAGGAAGTTTAAACTCAGAAAATCAATCTGTAGCCATTTAGTCAACAGAGATTAGATTTACGGCTTCAATAAAAATGGGAGCTATTTGGAGGTTTTTTTGTGGGCTCCTCTAATCCTAGCATTTGGGAGACAGAGGAACTCAATCGAACTAGCCTTGAACGGCTAGCTACATAACAAGGTCTCTTTTCAAAAACACAAACAAAAAGGGGAAAATAATCCCGTAAACCTCTTATTCATTGTCTTCGTCAGTCTGTTGCTGTGGAGAGACACCACGACCATGGCAACTCTTATCAAAGAAAGCATTTCAGTTTCTGAGGTTTAGTCCATTGCTGTCTTGGTGGGAAGCATAGTAGCTGGCAGGCAGACATGGCGCTGGAGGAATAGGTGAGAATTCTATGTCTGGATCTACAGGCAGCAGGAAGAAAGAGACACTGAGCCTGGCTTGAGTGTTTGAAACCTCGAAGCCTACCCCCAGTGACACAAAGTCTCACCTCCTAATACTCCCTCTCCCTGGTGCCAAGCCTTCAAATCTATGGGGGCATTCTTATTAAAACCACCACACTTATTAACACTTATGCTGGATGTAATTTTGAACATTAAAAAAATTACATACAGTTGCCACAATCCCTTGAGGTAGTCTCATGCCCTTTTTACAGAGGACATTTTGACACAGAAGACTTAGAAACTTTCCCAAGGTCACCTAGTTAGTGGGTGGTACTAGATTTAATCTCTATGAAGCAGGTACTCTGGGAACTGGCTCGGCAGTTAAGAGCACTTGCTGCTCTCCCAGAAGACTTAGGTTTTCATTCCCAGTACTCACATGGTCGATTAAAACAGCTCTAGTTCTGGGGAAATCTGATGCCCTCTTCTGGTCACTATGAGTACTACATACAACATGGTGTACATATGCATACAAGCAGGCAAACAGTGTATACATGAAATGAAAATAAACAAATTTTCCTTTAAAGAATCTTTTAAAAGATCAAGTAACTTGAAACGATGGGCCTGGCAAGTTGTTACTATCTAAGCAGATCTACGAGCAGGGCAGGAATTAGGATTGGAAGGTTGGCGAAGTTAAGGACCCCCCCCCCCCCCTGGAAAGCTGTTGCACAAATAATAAAAACCCAGAGACAGACATTGGGGTTCAACCTGAGGCTCAGAAAATAAAGCATCCAGCCACTAGAGATACCCTTTACCTCTAGCCAATCTTTAGACCGAGAGGGAAATATCCTATTTCCATGATTCCTCAGACTCCACACTCCAGTGATTTCTTGTCTCTTTCCCTTCATATTCCTTTCTCTGCCCAGCCATAGAGCTCCTGTCTCCACCTCCCTCATGCTGGGATTAAAGGTGTGAACCACCACCACCTAGATCTGTTTCTGGATCAATCTTGTGTAGCCCAAGGTAGCCTTGAACTCAGAGAGATCTGTCTGCCTCTGTCTCCTGAGTCCTGGGATTAAATGTGTGCGCCACTACTCCCTGGCCTGTATGACTGACTAGTGCGGCTTTTTGCCCTCTGATCTTCAGGTAAGCTTTATTTATTAAAACACAAATAATATCCCACTATAAAAAGCTGGTAGACTAACCAACCCAGCTACCACCCAGGCCCAAAATCAGGGCTGTGGGTTGACCCACCCTATCATCCACCTCATCTATGTACGGTTGGAGCAGGTAAAGGGGCCAGGCCGGCAGATCCAAAACAGCAGGCTCTCCATGACACAGGGAAACAACAGGAAACCTAAGAGGAGCCCCAGAGAGAGCCTTTACTGATGATGTAGCGGAGGCCAGAGGCCTGGAACGCTTTCGAGGGGAGATGAAAGGGCCAAAGGATGACCTGTGTAACCCCCTGGGCCACACTACAGCTTCCATGGTGACATTCTTCTCTCTCCTTTCTTTTTTTTTTTCTTTTTGCTTTGTTTGTTTGGTTTCTTTTTTGGTTTTTCTTTTAAATTTTCTTTTGTTTTGGAGGGGAGGTTTTGGGGTGACAGGAAGATGGGTGGAAAAGATGCACAATATGAAATCCACAAAGAATCAATGAAGATTTTTTTTAAGCATCCCAGATAAGCATCATCTCTCTGGATAAAAGGATGAAGAAGAGGGGTCAGAGAAAGAAACATTGAGGTAACAGCACTCTCTTGCCTGTTTGAGGAACTAGGGTACTAAGATGAATACATTGCTAACTAAGGCCTCACATGAAGATAAACTGCCAAGGTGCCAAGAAGGAAGCAGAGCCAAGCTGTAGTCACTGGGCGTTTGTTCGTGGGAGGCTGTATCTTGGCCTGGTCCCTTTTCTGGGTTCTCGCTCAGCTTCTTGTATGTGAAAAGGTGAACAACTCTCTTCCACAGTGATGTCTTGTGCCAGTGCTCGGGGACAATAATCATGGTAGAACCCTCTGAAACAGTGAGCTAAAATAGCTTTTCTCCATTTAGATGGTTTCTGTCTGGTATTTGGCCACAACTATATAAAAGTAAATAGTGCAGCAGATTAATTATATGATGAAGCTTTCCTTTTCTCTCGGAAGAAACACCGACTTGGCCTCTAGTTTGCCTGTGGTGGGTGAGATAACGGTAAGGACAAAGCTGAGAGCTCTGGAACAGTGGAAGAATACTGGTCTCAGAGTCAGGAGAATCGAGTTGAGTCTTCCTGTGGGATGTAGGGAAGTCACCCAATCTGATCTTCAGTTTTAATAACTATGAAATGGGTGTTTTCTGTCTATGATTTTCCAGTCCGCTTGGTCTTCATCTTCTTAGCTCCAAATGCAGGGCTCACTGGGCCGAACAGTCACTTTCAGGGTGCTGTGTTTGTAGGTGATTGTATTGCCCCCTTGTTCTATTCATCCATTCCCCCTCCCTTGTCTTTCTCAGCTCACTAGGCACACATATGTCTTCCCTTCTAGCCGAAAAGGAAGTGGGCAATTATTTTTGGTATTCATACAGTATAATTCTCGGCATATTAATCTCTCTAGAACAAAGTTGAGGCAGGCTGACATAAAGGGCTGCTGAGAGAATTGAATTAATATGTATAAGTGTTTATTTAGCACAGCGCCTGGCTTAAAGTGAGTGATAATTGTTACTTGTTATAATTTTTTTTCTTAACTTAAATGATCCTCATTTATCTCAAATGGTTTAGCTGTGGCTCTAGCTGGAGACTGATAACCTGAGATTCCTCTTCAAGCTGTCTGCTTGGTTGGTGGCCTGGCAGGAATTTCTTGCATAATCTCTTGCAGCCCTTTCTTGCTCGCTCGTTCAATTCTTTTTCCTGCCTAGTTTCTGCTCACTTTTGAGGAAAGCTATTAGAAGTAACTTTTGGTAAACTGACAGTCGGTGTAAACGAAGTCATGCACCCTCTGACAACATTTTAACTTATCTCTGAAATAAGTCTGACAAACACACACACACACACACACACACACACACACACACACCCTTGGACACCACGGTTTTTCAAGCCCACACTTCAGAGTATACAGGTGTGCACTCGGGGCAACAAAAACAGATTACAGTGGTGGTGATGACTCCCTCCAAGGCGCAGATGAAAGAGGTGCCTCCCAGCCAGCTTCAAGGCACCGGCCCACCTGGGTCAGACTTTGTATTCACCCCATTTTAGGCAGGTAGGAAGAGCCTACCCAAGACCGGCTTTTATAGCACACCAGTTTTTCTAGTTTTTTTTTTTTTTTTTCTTTCTCGTTTGGAATTTTGGGATCAGCAATTCTTCAAACTTGCTTGAATTTGTGTCCCGGGCTGCTACTGATGTGGGGCTCAATGCTGGGTGGAGGAGGAGGCCCCGGGGATCCACAGGCTGGTCAGCAGCTTGGACCCCAGAACTAAGGGGGTTCCACTTCTCTCTGCGTGCATCTCCATAGGGAGTGTGCACGTCCGAGTAAAGCCTTCCCGCCAGGGCCGCTCCCTCCCTGACCCTGGCCATAGCCAAGACTCGGTCTCCAGGCACCGGACAGGCGGAGCCCGAGGCCGGCAGGGCGCCCTCGTCCCAGCCTCTTCCTGGTCCCCTCGGCGCCACTCCCACCGCCCTCCTCCGGGGTAGTTCCAGTCGCTCCAGGCCCGCGTCCTCGGGGTGAAGGCGCGGTTCCCCGAGCTCCGCTCCCGTGGCTGCTGTCCCCGAGGCCGCCGCCCGCTGCGGGGGTCCCACGCGGGTCCCCGAGCGGCGGGTGGCGCTGTGGCGCAGCCCTCCAGCCCCGGGCGCCCGCTGCGCGCGGCCTCCGCCTCCTTGGCCGCGTCGTGTTCCCCCGCCCTCCTCGCTGGGCGGGTGGGAGGCGGCGGCGGCGGCGGTGGCGTGCTGTGTGAGCGCGCGCGAGGGGGGCGGCAGCAAGGAGGCTCCCGGTGCCACCGCGGCGGCCGAGCCACACGGGCGGCGGGCACGGCGGGGTCGCATCTGCCGGCGCTGCGAGGCCGCGAACAAAGACCAGCCGCCGAGGCGCGAGGTAGGGCGCTCGGCGAGTCGGGGACGCAGGGCGCGGGGTGGTGGCCGGTGCAGTTACGTCATAGCCCTCCCTGTCTGCCTGTCCTCTTGCCTTCTTTGGCCTGCAGATTGCTGTGGAGTTAATATTCCCAGGGTGCATGATTGGAAGAGCTATCTGGTAGTTCATGCTTCATCTTTCCTGTATCCCTCTCCATCTTCTGCCACAAATTCCTCTTCTGTCATTTTGCTAATTCTAGTCAACCCTACTGTCATCTTGGCATCACACATTGTATGTACCTGATGCAAGTCTCATGACTGCTAGAAAATTTAATTCCTGTTACCCCATTAACTTGCTTTTTTACTCTTTCATAGTTTAGGAATCTGTGAAAAAATATTTCTAATTTTTTTCTTACCAGGTGTTATAGATCCCAGCAGCATTGAAACACTGTATTTATAAATAAAATATAATTGAGCAAATTGTTAAAAATAGGGTGTTTCATGACCCTTGTTGGAAACGCTTAAGGTTAATTTGTTATATTTAAGCCAATTAGAATTTTAGGCAGATTTTTTTTTGGGGGGGGAAGGGGCAGGGTTATTCCAAATTTATCTTTTAAAAATTTTATTGTAATGCATTTACCTATTATAAAATTTATCTGTTTAAAATATACATAGAATGGCAAGAGAGCTCATTGGATAAAGATATTTGCTGCTAAACTTGATTGAGTTCAGTTCTTGGAACCCACATGGTACAGGAACAGGACTGACACCCACAAGTTGTCCTCTGACCTTCAGGCAGATGCTACAACAAATACAGACATTCTCTTTCTCTCTCTCTCTCTCTCTCTCCCTCCCTCTCTCCCTCTCATCTGTCCGTCTGTCCATCCATATGTAGTTTACTGACTTTAGTATATATACTGAATTTTTTTCTCTCCAAAGGAGTTTTGTGTGCCCGTTCCCAGTCACACTTATTCCTTATCCATGGAGACCATTGTAACCACTGATGGTCTTTCTGTCTGTATATCTGTATTCAGGACATTTAAATGAAACTCTGATAACATGTGCTTTTTGGTATTAAAACTGGATTATTTGCCTGGTGTGGTAGTCCACACATTATTCCCAGCACTCAAGAGGCAAAAGTGGGTAAATTTCTGTGAGTTCTAGGCCATCCTGGTCTACATAGTGAATCCCAAGCCAGCTAAGGCTCCATAGTGAGACTCTGTCTAAAAGCAACAACAAAGTGCACTATTGTCATTTTGGGAGGTGGGTATTGAGGCAGTGTCTCCCGTAGGCCACCATGACTTTTGAACCTAACGTATAGCCAAGGGTGATCTTGAGTTTTAGATCTCTTTCCAATGCCTCTCTGGTACCAGGATTAGGGAGACATGTTCTACCATAGCTGCCTTGACTTTCTGTTTTTTTTGGTACAGTTGATGCATAAACTTTTTTTCATAAAATAAGTTTTTATAAAATCTGTTTCAAATACAGATAATTTTTTTTCATTCTGTGGGTATCCATTTTCTTTTACTAAAAAGTCTGTTTGCATTGTGTGTGTGTGTGTATGTGTGTGTTTGTGTGTGTGTGGTATGCACATTTGCTAAGGCAGGCAGGCAGGCAGAGGGTAGCAGACAACTGTCAGGAATTGGTTCTCCTTTCATCATGGTCAGACTCAGATGTCAGGCTTGGCAGCAGGCACCTTAACCAGTTGAACCATCTCACTGGCCCCATCTTTGTTTCATTGGCAGTGTCGTACGGTGTGCAAAATTTTTAGCTTTAACAAAAGCCAATTTTTCTTTCCTTTCAGTTTTTGTTTGAAGTTATTACAAAAGCATGACGGTTTATTCCTGTTTATAGTTGTAGTTCTTATAGTCTGTAATCCAATTTGAGTTAGTTTTTGCGTATTCATGGGAATATCTAGTTATTCTAGAGTAATTTTTAATTGGATTAATTTTTCCAAAAAACAATATCTTATAAAAATTACTGGACTGAAATGATGCTTTTTTTGTTCTCTCTCTCTCTCTCTTTCTCTATCTCTATCTCTATCTCTATCTCTATCATAGAACATATTTCTAACCAAAGATGGGACAGTGCAGCTTGGAGACTTTGGAATTGCTCGAGTTCTTAATAGGTAACATAACACCATTAAGTATTGTTTTGATATAATGTCCTCAGTCAAATTGAATCTGCTGTAGTATATATGCAATAACTTATAATATTTCTCTCTTCTTTAACAATTTTATTGTTCTAGTACTGTAGAACTGGCTCGAACTTGCATAGGGACTCCATATTACCTGTCTCCTGAAATCTGCGAAAACAAGGTATCTAGAATGACACTCAACACATATGTTTGATTTAAATCTTTCTGTCACACTCTTTTAATAACGTTGAGAATACTATTCTAATGTGAGTCATGTATGTGTAATCATGTATATCTTTTGATGAGGGAATTGTAAAAGCTCTCTCTCATTGGGAGAACTCGTCCAAGCATCACTTTGCCAGAGTTAGGAATAGAGTGCTCTCTTTGGTCTTTCGCTTTGCCATAGTCATTTTCTATGGAACTGTAGCTAATCGTATAGAGTGCATGCTATATTCTCAATAAAGAAACCAAATTCAGAGGGACACACCAACGTGCTTGAATGCCTCAGCCTGCGATGGACCGGTTTAGCCGGGGCACTGGGACTGATAGGACAGGGTCTCAGGAATAGGTGGGAAAAGAGTCAGAAAACGACAAACAGACACAAGACTCAAAGGAATAACATCTGAATGTGTCTTTACTAGGCATGAGGCTCATCCTTTATATAGAAAAGATTGCTTAACAGCATTTATTGTTTTTTTCATGCAGTACAGATTATTCTTAGAGTCATTATACAAGATACATGAGAATAGATTTTCATCAGACAGATGTCCCTGATGTGAGTCTGCGGTTGGTCATGCTAGACATGGCTTGGCATTAGTTTCAATATAAATCTTTATCGAGGCTCTGAGTTAATGGCATTTTGAGCTAAGGGGAAGCAGTTGTGGTTAACAGTCCCGTAGTCTACAGTCTTTCTATATTTCTGCAATCTGTGCAGAAGAACTTCTTCTTGCCTTCTCCATATTTCTAACTCCTTTTCAAACCTTCCCCCCAAACCAATCTCAAGACGTTGCAGGCATTTTTCTCTCTCTCTCCTATCATTATACCCTTTTTGCTGAATCTGTCTTAATTGCTTAACTACATTTGCCTTTTGTTCTTTATTTACTAAGCACCGGATTAAACCTGGAAACCTTTTTGCCTTGAATGTTCACCCATCTTCCCCCATTAGCATCATATTCTCCTGTATATGGCAGTGGCTCATCAGTAGACTCTAGAAACTTAAGCACACTGTCTTCCCTTCCAGAAGAAACCAGACTGTTTTCCTTAGAACATAAGCAGATTATGCCAAAAGTGCAAGGGCTCAATGCAGGAAGCACAGCATACACACATCTTCTCTGCGGGCACGCTTTCTTGAAGCTTGTGCCCTGTCTTTCCCGAGAGATCATGCAGACTCCGCAGGAGGAGGCATGACGTCAGCTTCCTAGTCATCTAAGCTGCTAGAAGATTGTGTGGTATGCCATTGAGGACAGTTCCGTAATTGAACAACAGTGACTGTTTCCTCCCCTTTCCGAGCAGAGGTCCCAACTATACACACTGTTCGGTTTGCTGTCATACTTGATTGTAGTAAATGAATGTTTCTCATTTTGTAGTGTCTTTAAAATTGAGTAAAGCATGTTGAATTTTGTAAAATAAATAAATGACGTTTTTATACTGTTCTTTAAAAAATTAAATTTCTTTAATGAAATTTTGAAGTAATTGCTTAGGCAACCCTTATTTTTGTAATTCGAGATACCTGCTTTTATTATCTAGTTTGAAATTTTAAGTTAAAATGCTTTGTAAAGCACATATTTTCCCTAAGGATTCTCTTACTATTTGTTTGCTTTAAGTGAAAAAAATTAAATATATTTTGATATTAAAAAGAAATTTCTCTTTTGTCTTCCCAGTGACATCTGGGCTTTGGGCTGTGTCCTCTATGAGTTGTGTACACTTAAACACGCAGTAAGTCAATGTTGTGATGTCTCCAGAGCTGTAGCATCTTCCAGAGAATGCTTACAGACAGGAGGTTCTGTTTTCTGAACTAGACTGACTGAGTCTCATTGTGTGTCTGCTGGTACTCTATTTTGTGCTCCCACAAACATTGTTTTTCATACTCAAACAGATCTCATTCCCCTTCTGTAAACTTATTTACTATGAATTTGATATTTTCCCTAATACTTTGTTAGTTTCATGTTAGCAAGTTCTTTCAAAACACCTATATTTAGCTGAGTGTGATGGAAAAGCCTATGCTCTCAGCATTTGGGAGACTGAGGGCAGAAGAATGGAAAGGTCAGGGCCTGTCTGGATTAGCTAGCAGTATTTTGTGTGAAAAACTACAAAATAAATTAAAAGTATTCAAATTCTTTGAGATTGTTATTGAAAGTTATTTAAGGAATTTTATTTTCTGTGACAACCAGAGCATTTTTGTTAAAAATGAACTGTCAACATAGAAAAGGAAAACAATAAAAGAATTTTGTTCAGTGTATTTTTCAAGTAGTGAGTGTGTGTGTGTGTGTGTGTGTGTGGTTTGCTGTGTTTGTTGTGTGTGGTGTATGTACTTGATAATGGGAATATGCATGTGTGCTGTGTGTGTGAGGTTGGAGGTGCCCAGGGTGGCCCAAGGTCAATGTCTGGTGTCTGTCTTGATTACGCGCCATCTTTATCTTGGCCACAGGCTCACAGAACCTGCTCATTGTTTTGACTTTAGTGAATTTCTACCCACAGCCTAGCCCAGTGGAGAGTACAGAACCATCCACTTTTACATGTGTGTGTTCTGGGGTTCTGAACCCACTTCCTTGTGCTCACACAGCAGGCATTTTACTAACCAAGGCTCTCCCAGCATGTTACCAAGTAATTGTATCACATGAAGTACCTTTGTATTATTTCCAATTTCACCATTGGCATATATTTTAAATAATAGCAAATATGCCAAAAAGTGAGAGTTCTTGTCAAAATATATTTAATTTTAATAAATTTTTTAGGTTTTTTTTTTGTTTTTTTGTTTTTGTTTTTGTTTTTTTTTTTTGAGACAGGGTTTCTCTGTAGCTTTGGTGCCTGTCCTGGAACTAGCTCTTGTAGACCAGGCAGTAATTTTTTTAGTTTTATACCCTCCTTTTTCAAGCCTGTTTCCTTCACTGATTAAACAGTACTGTATTTTCAAACTTGAGAAAAATACATAAAATCATAAAGCAGTAAATAAGTTCTCTAAGCAATTCCAACAAGAAACAACTGTGTGTATTTGTCATTTTCCCCTAATCTTTATTCTAATTTATTTATAAATTGAATTACTCTTCTCCAATAATTTGCTTGTATTATATGAACAGCTTTATAGCCTGTTTTTATTGTTTAACATTACTTGAAGTTTTTTATTATTGTTTTCTTGAGGTATTTTTCCATTGATATGAGTATGTATGTATGTATAATGAAAGCGCATTGCGTTTATATGAATGCACATATTGTTGGAGGTCAGAAGAGTGTCTAAAGGCTGCCCTGAGCTACCTGATGTCTGTGTCCAGAACCAAACTGAGGTTCTCTGGAAGAGGAGAAAGCTCTGGATGTGGCCTAAGAGAAAGTAGTTAGGTGTTCTCTTAGGTCTTTCCTTATTTTGCCCAAATGTTTTTTGCTTAGTAGTTAACTAGTTGTTAGAGCAGAGGCAGAAGAAACCAGGTCTTAAATGAACATCACTAGGTTGCATAACTTTTTTTTATCTTGATTATTGTTGTGTCTTATAAAATCATTGTTAATATTTATACCTCACCTCTTAGCATGTTGCAAAAACAATTAGATCTTACTCTAAGCGTAAGTTTTAATATTTTACTTTTGAAATTTTAAGTCATTAGGTAAAGTCTGCAGGAAGTATGCTGATTGCATTACTTAGGAGAGGATTGTATTTCCATTCCGTATTAGTGGGAAAAGAGCTATTGCTTGTTACTGATAACCCCCATTTCAGTTTCTTTGTGGTTTATATATGTGCATCTATTTTCTGGATTTTAGTTTGAAGCTGGGAACATGAAAAACCTGGTACTGAAGATAATATCTGGATCCTTTCCTCCTGTATCCCTGCACTATTCCTATGATCTCCGCAGTTTGCTCTCCCAGCTATTTAAAAGGAATCCTAGGGATAGACCATCAGTCAACTCCATATTGGAGAAGGGTTTTATAGCTAAACGAATCGAAAAGTTTCTCTCACCTCAGGTATGTGTCACCGGTACCCCTAAAGTTAAGCGATAAGGTTCTGGTACCTAACAGAAGGGCCATAGCAGTCACCACAGTGCCTGGGCCAACAGGCCCTTCTCAGACTGCATTGGTGCCTCTTTCCTTTCCCTTGGTTTCTAATTGAAATTATCAACCCTTTTTGTGCTTCACTTTTCTTACTTGTAAGCTATAAGCTAAGGGATATAGCCATATTGTGGGTGGCTTGAGAATTAAATAATACTGTGCATACAATGCTTAATGTCTAGCATTACATGCATATTCAAAGTAGTTAATATATATATCCCTACCATATATTATATTAGATAAATAAAATAGCAGCATAATTCCCATGATTATGACTGTATTTGACAAAATGGTTGGAAGCCATGATTCTATGGACTTGTATAAGCCCATATACTATATTACTATATCTCATAATTTTTCCTCTAGTTTTCAAATATAGGTACAAAACAAATACTAGTGGAGATAATTGAATTTCATTTGGCAGGTTTTATAAAATATTTTGTCAAGTCAGATGGCATTAGTTACTGAAAAATGTGATCATCTGAAAATATAGTTACTTTTTAAGTTTATTGTGGCCATTTATTAATTTAATCAGTATTCCTTTTGTAAAACAGATATGTAACAAAACATAACCCTATTGCTGATATATGCTTCTGGTTTAAGAGAACATTCCTTAGAACAAATTCTTTTCAGAAAACAAGAGCTGTTCATTTAAATAATAATACTTAAAGAATGTATTTGTAAGCAAGAAGGCTAACTCAACTTGGAGGTTAAAAGTTACTGTATAAAACATGGCAACAATTTCTGAAATGTGGTGTTTTACAAGGCTTCTTTGTTAAAAATAATTCTTTCAAAGGCTGTTTAGATGTAATGTTGTGTTATTTTTTTGGCAGCTACCATATAACAAACAAAGGCTTCATTTAATCTCACTGAAGCTACCTCGCCCTTGCCAGTGTTGTTAGGGCATAGTCTCAAGGCTGAAACACTGGAATTCACCTCCTAGCAATAAAAGGGAAATTGTTAAAGCCTCAATTACCAAACATAATATGCAAAAGGGTGGCAGATTATGATTAGTAACAAACAGAGCATTTAATATTATGTGTTTGGTACGTGTAGCACCCATTCCTCACTGGTGTTTTAAGCACCACTTGAATTTATGAAAACTTGAATATTTTGTTCCTAAGATATATTTTCTATGTATCACTTGTTCATCAACATTCAACTGAGGTGCTTTGTGCTTCGTCTTTTTTTTTTTTTTTTTTCGAGACAGGGTTTCTCTGTGGCTTTTTTGGTTTCTTTCCTGGAACTAGCTCTTGTAGACCAGGCTGGCCACAAACTCAGAGATCTGCCTGCCTCTGCCTCCTGAGAGCTAAGATTAAAGGCGTGCGCCAACACTGCCTGATTCTTGTGCTACATACAAAAGGCTATAACTTTGAAACAGTTTATGAGCTATTTCTTCTGGTATCGTTATAGTAATGTATATTGTGCAGATTTATGTTTTCTCACTATGTCACTGCAAACCTATGATCCTTCTGTGTCTGCCTTTTGAATTCCTGGAGTATAGTACAACTTTAATTTTTGAAACCGTAGTTCTTTCAAAGCCATTGGCCAGAATTAAACATCAGTAGGGCCCAGTGCTCCTCCTTGTATCCTGATAGATTTCCCTGCATGTGGCTTCACAAACTATGGGTAAGCTTCCTTTATTAGGAGTCCAGTCTCTGTCTAGTAGAGTGCTCTGAGGAGGAAAGTCTTCTATATCTTAGTCTAACATCACAGCTGCTGGTCACCTCTTGAACACTTAGAATGTGACCAGGGTGACGAAAGCCACATACTGGTGATGGCTCTTAAATTGGACTGAATTCCCATAATATTCCAGGATCTTCTTGAGTTGTGAGTATATGATCTCTCAATTCATCTGAACATTTACATAGAACAGAAAGATTTATATTTGAATAAATTCTCCAATTTGAGGGCAAGTTGGAGATCATAAAGCAACCATTCCCACAGGTCAGGGAACCCTGATTGCTCTTCAAGCAGATGAGGGAGGGGGACTTGATCGGGGGAGGGGGAGGGAAATGGGAAGCGGTTGCGGGGAGGAGGCAGAAATCCTTAATAAATAAATTTAAAAAAAAATAAAAAAAAACACCCATTGAGCCAAGCCTAGGACACAATCCTACAGTCTTAAGAGGTATTGAGAGACAGGAAGATCCCAAGTCCAAGATTAGCCTGGGCTACACAACAAGGCCCTGTCGCAAAATAAAAGGTTTAAAAACAAAAGGTGGGGTTGGTGTGCCATGAAGAGGACTCAGAAATTAGGTCACTGATAAAGTGCTTCTCCAGCACGTGTGAAGCCCTGCAGTCAATGCCCAGTTTCACAGAAATGGAACAGATCCCTCCACTTTTCTAAGAAACATAAAGGAAAAAAATGCATGTGTTCTGCAGAGAAAGTGTTCTCACACACTTGCCCTGAACTGCCTTGGAACCAGACTTCTCCTGTTTATCTTCTACTGCATTAGTTCTAAAATATAGCATCCATAATCTCCTGAAGGACTTGCTGGGTTCATTCACTACTAGAGATGGTGTTGACTTTGAGACTGAGTACTACTGCCATAGGGGTCTTCAGTAGAAAAGAATTATCTCAGGCTGGAGGTTTGTGCCTACTGGATGTCTTGTCTGCTGTCTAATAGTCTTTCCACTGTGCCTCACTTCTGTGGGAAAAATGAGAAAGTTTACTTGGCATTTTGCTCACCATCAATAAGATAAAAATAAACTCAAATTGAGGTAAATCTTCATTGATATCATAGTTTTACACTGAAAAAAATGTACTTAAAATAGAGAAAATTACTTGTGGAAAATATAAATATTTATCTCATGAAATATATTTATAAATGCTGAAGACTCAGTCAGGAATAGAATGTTTGTTTTTTTTTTTTTTAAATATTTATTTATTTATTATGTATACAATATTCTGTCTGTGTGTATGTCTGCAGGCCAGAAGAGGGCACCAGACCCCATTACAGATGGTTGTGAGCCACCATGTGGTTGCCGGGAATTGAACTCAGGACCTTTGGAAGAGCAGGCAATGCTCTTAACCGCTGAGCCATCTCTCCAGCCCCCGAATAGAATGTTTTTATGTTAATGAGACACTAAAAATATTTATCCGATGGCATGTTTGCAGATGTGTGTGAACTCACTGCAGGTGGGAAGTGATGCACAGTAAACTTAATGGTGTTCCCAAGAGAGTGGCTTTTGAAGTGACTCTTGAACAGTTTTGACACAAATGAGGCTATGGATGCTTACAGAATGCAATGATCCCTCCATAGTTCTTAAGTCACTAAGATATGGAAAAGGCCAATAATATGCGTACTGTGTTTTAGTCTAGCTTGAGAAAGACTGGAGAAGTAATAAAAATACATTAGTAAGAATAGCAGGGGTCCATGGTTAGCAAGAAGAGAATATGCTGGGTGGATTGCTGAATTTTAATTCAGTTTATTACCAAGATCTTTATGACTGGAAGAAAAAATGCATTTTGGTAGATGACTAGGTTTTTCATTGTGTAGGAAACTGATTTATTTGTTTTGGTTTGATTTTTCAAGTCAAGGTTGCACTGGATAGTCTTGGATGTCCTGGAACTCACTCTTAGACCAGGCTGATCTCAATCTCAGAGATCCTCCTGCCTCTGCCTCCAGAGTGCTGGGACTAAAGGTGTGCACCACTACACTCAGAGGTGATATCTTTTTAACACTGTTTTTTTTTCTCTCTCTCTCTTTCATTCTAAGCTTATTGCAGAAGAATTTTGTCTAAAAACATTTTCAAAATTGGGACCACAGCCTCTACCAGGTAAATCAGCTTCTGTTTTCTATCTTGTTTACATGAACCCTGACTTGAAGATTTTTCTTTTGAGAATGTTGTCAAGAATGTTATAAACTGCCTGCACTAAGGTGTAATTCTTTATTAAAACATTTTCCTTTGATAAATGTTTTATATTCTAAATTTTTAACTGGAAATGATAATGGTAATGTGTACTCAGGAAGGCCTCCTGTATTTAGATTTTTCTCCCCTAAAGTGCTTGGGATGAAACACAGGACTTAAATGGTGGTCAACACACTCTTTTTACTTCGAGAAGCCAGTGTTGGAATTAGGAAGGAAAAAAAAAGTTGTACAAGGAGCTTCTTGAATGAAATCTTCAGTAATCTAGGAGTAAAATAAGAGTATGTTGTGGGTGGGCTCTTAAATGCTTTGTGGGTTCCATCACCTTCCTTAAACTAGAGGGAGCCTTGACATAGAGCCCAGGAGGTAAGGTGCAGTAAGTAGCCCTCCGTCTTCTCTTACTATAATGGATGAGAACAGTTTATGTCTTTCTCTTGAGAGTGTTCATTTTGATGTTTTGGTGACTCCAGTCCCTTTTTCTGGTATGCATAGCACTTTCTTTACGATTCTATTAGTTCAGTTTGCTTTTTCATTTTGTTTTTAAAACAGGGTATCTTTTCCTGTAGGTCAGGCTGGCCTTGGACTCACAGAGATTTCTCTGCCTCTGAGATTAAAGGTGTGGCCTAACTCTTTTGTTGTTTTCATAAATTTAGCCAAGTTACACAATTGTAACTTCATAGAACTCTGTTCTATTTTCTTCTGATGGTTGACTGACTTTCTTATACTTCCTAGTTGATGGATCAAGATGTTTTAGAAAAACTTTACTCTATCACATTATTATCAATATAAATTGCTTCTGAATCGCTACAGTGACATCCATTAGCTAATAATAATTTTAGTGTCTGTCCTAGTTAGGGTTTCCTACTACTGAGATGATGTATACTACTCTGTACCCCAACAAGTTCCACATGGCAGTACACCTCATGAGTGAGGGCACACACTAAAGCAGAGCCGCAGTGTGAAAGTCTTTAAAAAAGACTTTCAATGTAAAGTACTTGAAGCTTTGATACTAGCTAGTGGATAGCAAACATATGATTGTGAAAATAAAAAAGTACCATTCCTGAAGTTTTCTTGGCATTAAAGATTCACTGTAAAGAACTACTGAAAAAGAATTGCTTGTCTTTTCATGCAGGTAAAAGACCAGCATCAGGGCAAAGTGCCAGTTCTCTTGTCCCTGCTCAAAAAATCACAAAGCCTGCTGCTAAATATGGAGTGCCTTTAACATATAAGAAGTATGAAGATAAAAAGTTAGTTGAAAAAAAATCACCCCCAAAACATAAACAGGTAAGATCATTTTTCAAACTGATTAATGTCAAGGTCAGTTTGACCCTGTGTAGTAACAGCCCCATTGGTTATCTGGTACTCGGGGTAGTCTGGATATGGCTGGGAGGAGAGAGGAATGTAAGGCAGGAAGAAACAGGAGCTCAGCCCATTCAGTCTGAGGATTCTTGGGGACAGGATCTTGCCCACTTCAGTCAAGTCACTCTATTGGCTGGCTCCCTAATACTTCTCTGATCTTCCAGCGTTTGCCCCTGATATTGACTCTGGGTTTTTATTATTAAGACCACTACACTCTGTAACAACTACCTGAAATATATACTTACTGAAAGTCTTAGTAATCAAGAAAGATTTGAAGTTGGGAGCAACTCATTCTGTGCTACAACAGTACAGCTAATTCCTCTGCCTCTATTTATTTCAGAAGTTTACTGTCTGAGAGCTGGAAAGATGGGTCAAGAGTGTTCTTGCAGAGCACCCAAGTACAGATCACAGGACCTGCTTCAAGCAGCTCTCAACTTCCTGAAACGCTAGCTCAGGGGAACCTCTGGGGTCACCTCAAATGCACAAATACAAACTATAATAGTAAAATTTTCAGCTCACAATATTTATGCTGATTAGAGTCCCAATGACTAGCACCTGATAAAAGTGCACTTGTGTCGAAGTATGGGTTTCAGGCTTTAAGGAAACTACAAAATTTGGGAGAAATTTTAGAAGCATTTCTTTCTGAAATATAAAATTAATAAACTACTTTTACATTAAACATTGTATTAGATTAAAATAACATAATGGTATTAGAAATGAATATTCTATATGACTCTTACACATTGTTTATGTGTGTGTTTATTATTTTTATGGGTATGTGTGTATGCTTCTGTGAGATTATGCGCACCAAGTGTGTGCAGGAGCCCATGGAGGCCAAGAGGGCATTGGATCTCCTGGAACTGGAGTTGACAATGGTTGTGAGCTACTGTATTGGTGCTGGGAATTCAACACAGGTTCTCTGCAAGAGAAGTAAGCACTATTAACTACTGAGCATTCCTCATGACCCTTGAAGACTTTTGGCGGAATCATTTTATGAGACATTGCTCGAGCAGTGGTAGCCAGTTTTATTTAGGACTGCTTGTCAGACACGTGGCTGTGTTTACACATGCAGCTGGGGATTTCTGTGTTCACATTCTACCAGCATGTATCATAGTGTCCAGCCCAGTGAGGAATGAAGGAATTGGAAGCTATTTGTACTATGCATTAGAGATATCTTGGGGCCTTTTATTTCTCTATGAGGATATGAAATCCAGTGTTTTTAGCTGTGTATTCTGTTTCTTGCAGTTGCTGGTGAAGGTAAGGAGCTCAGATATTTCTCTACCTTTGGAGCATCAAGAAACGGGGGGTTCTCCATCAAAGCAGCAAATGAGACCTGTTATTTCTGTGACTTCGGCTTTGAAAGAAGTGGGCCTGGTAAGTTTCATAAAATTTAGAGCTCCTCAAAGACTACAGATCAATTTAAGCGAAAATGAATTTAATGGATTACATTGGTTTCTAATGCCTCCTTGTTGTTTCCTAGAGTAAAAAGATTGTCTTCTGGATTTTTTTTTTTTTTTGGCTTCCTCTGAATTTTGGAACTTTTCTGCCCATAGATTTTTATCTAGGACTCAGTTATAGATAAATATGCCTTGAACACTCTGCTTTTGAAGATTCCCTATATACAGAGCTAATCAATTTCAGATCCAAAGTGTTTGAGAAATAAAGTCATGTTTTTGCTGATGTGCTTACCCAGGCCAGTACTGATGGCCTCTGTAGTGCTGATGTTCATGCTGTTAAACCGTATCACAACTGTTTTCATAGCATATCTGTCTGTTAGGTTTTGTAACTAATTTAGAGACAGTTCGTGGTATGTGCAGGATATCATATGCTATATGCACTTAACCATTTTAAATATGAGAATTGAGCACCTGTGGATTTTGGCAAGGGAGCAGAGAGATCTTAGAACCAGTGTCTCACAGATGCATGTGTATAGAAAGGGCATTGTGTTGAAATGACTCTCTGATAGACTAGTAAGATGGCTCTGTGGGGAAAGGAGCTTGCCACGATGTCTGGCGATCAGAGATTGATCCCTGAGACTGACCCACATGGTAGAAGGAGTGAACAACTACAAGTTTTCTTCTGACTTCCATGTGCATGTAATTGTAGCAGCAGCAGCAAACATACACACACACACTAATTAAATGTAGTAAAAACATTAGAAAGCCAATCTACTGAAAATAATGTGGCAAACAGTTTTGTACCCTAACCCTCATGATTGGCAAATTTTTAAAGAATAATATCTTTTATAGTACTTAAAGTAAATAACTATAGAAATGAACTCTACACCTATTTGAAATTATGTAACATGGGAAGTGATGTTCAATGTAATTCATTTTTTTTTTACCTTCTACTCTGTCTCTGTATGCTAGCTATATAGATAATAAAACAAACAAAAATATGCGAACAAGCAAAAGTTTAAACTTGTAAGTGTGCACCAGGTTACCTGTCTAAAAAGACCGTTCTGGATGAAAGGAATGGCTCCGAATGTGGAGTGACTCCCTGGGTTAAACTGCTCTGAACACAGTCTGCTGAGCCCTACAACCTAGGAACCTCTTTTCCTTTCCCAGTAGCTACTGTCTGTGACTTGTATTTGTTGAAATTCTTTAGATGTTTTTCATACTGCAGAGATTATTGGTTACTACAGAGATTTTCTGCAGCCTTTGTGCTTATCTTGAAAATAAGGCAGAGTATAAAGCTCTATGTCCCTGTTCAGAGCTTCGTGTAAGAATCTGTTCTCCCAGTAGGTTTTATCTCTTTCTGATAATGACTTTGCATGTGCCGCATTGTTTACAACTTTAGATTCCTTGTGTGGTTTCCTTCCTGGTACCCAGTCTCACATCTCCAGTACCTGTCATCTCTGACTGCTTTCCTGGGTAAAATCCTCCTTGTCTCATTTACATGTGTTACTGTAATTCTGATCACTATGCTCTTGTGTTTTTCAAGTCTTAGAAATCTGTGGTAATCATGTGACTAAATCGTTTTTCTTATTGTTGTGTTTATAGAAACTGCTCATTTAAAACATTGAAGATTATTTAGTCACACTGTTATAGCCTTCATAACAACTAATCTTTTTCTTTTAATGTATTCTTAAATATTAAGTTTTTAAGAATATCTTTATACTAATCAGAAGAAAAGTAAGAATCTGTTTTTACTTAACTTCTTTCCATAGATAAGAAAGCTACTTGTTAATTGTGTTTAATGCTTTGTCTTAATGTGTATGTGTATGTAACAAATTTTTTTTTCAAAATAACACAGCTTATCCTGAATTCCTTTCTCTACCAACACATTCCCTGGGACTAAGACTTTAGCTCAGGTGGTAGAACACTTGCATGAGGCATTCAGTCCCCAGGATTATTTATTTTTAGGACGTAATTATTTTATGCATTTGGGTGTTTTGCCTGCAGGTGTCTCTGTGCACAGTGTGTGTGCCTGGTGCCCCAAGAGGCCAGAAGAGGGTGTTAAGTTCTTTAGAATTGGAGTAACAGTTGGTTGTGAGCCACCTTGTGGGTTCTGGGAATCATACCCAGGTCCTCTGCAGGAGTAGCAAATACTCTTAACCACTGAGCCCTATCTCTAGCCTGAAGAACCGTATTTTTTTAAAAGCAAAACATGACAACCCTTTTCCGAACTCTAATAAACAAAGTATATGAATTTCTTTTCATGCCTGTCATTGACTTTAAATTATCAAAAATTAGATACCAAAGAAGACAGAGATAATTGTTAGCAGTAACCCATAAACATGACAAATAACTGAGAATTGACACACACACACACACACACACACACACACACACACACACACACATATTTAACTTATTAACTGATTGATAATGTTTAAATGTTCATCATTATTTATAATGACAGAAGCCATGTTAACATTTCACAGCAATGAGAAAAGTTCACAGGGGTTAAATTTCAGTTAAATGAAAAACTTACAGTAACAAAAATATCAACTGTTTCAGACTCCTAAAATGGTTTTCTCTTACTCTTCAACCGTCTTGTGTTTAAAGGATGGAAATTTAACTGAAACCCAAGAAACTTCAGAAGAAATGCAAAAGAGCAGCAATGTTGTTTCAGTAAGTACAGTTTTCAGAGACTCTGTCAGGCTCTTATTTAATAATATGCTCACTAAAGTATAACTATTTCAGAGCAAGCGAGAAAAACTGCGTAGGCTAAATGAGAATCTTAAAGCTCAGGAAGATGAAAAGGAGAATCACCATCACTCAGATTCTTGTGAGGTCGCTGGTCACAAGGATGCCAAGGAGTATGAGAAAGAAAATGCCATTTCCTCTGATCGCAAGAAGTGGGAGGTCGGAGGTCAGCTTGTGATTCCTCTGGATGAAGTGACACTGGATACATCCTTCTCTGCCTCTGAAAGTATGTATGAACATGTCCATGTCCTGTCTTGGGTTAGCACTCACGTAAACTTGTGTCCTGGCCATCCTAAGGAACCAGCATGTGGATGGGTTAAGAGAGGTAGAAGAAGTCTGTGCAACTCCCTCATGGGCATATGAAGTATCTTTCAGTACAATTTAAAGACATGAAAAATGGTTTGGTTTTTACAGTAGCAAAAATTCTTCTGTAAGAGTGTAGTGAGAGGAGAACTAAAGAAATGTATTTAAATTGTACTGTTTGAACCCTTTACACCATGTCAACCTGTTACATTCTTTGTTCTTGTTGTAGTGAAAGGGGTTCCTGGTGGGTGACACATGTCTCAGTATGTATCCAGCACTGTCCTTGAACTCATGGTCTTCTTTTCTCTGTCTTCTCAGTGCTTAAGTTACAGATATGTGTTTCCCAGCTTCCCCACTTTTGGTTTTATGAGATAATCACTCATTGTATAAATACCAAGCTGGTCTTGAATTCATAATCCTCTTGCCTCTGCCCTCTGAATGCTGAGTACATGCCCAACTCTACCAGTAGTTTCTAATGAAAACAAGAGCAGTGAAAGCTCAGAAGAGCCCCTTAGACATTAGGAGGAGTTCAGGAGGTTTAACTAGAAAGAATTCCTAAGCACCACTGTGTTCTCACAGGAATCACGGCCTTCATTGTCTCCTTACCGTCTTCCCACAGGAATCATGGTCTTCGTTGTCTCCTTACCATCTTCTCACAGGAATCATGGCCTTCATTGTCTCCTTACCGTCTTCTAACAGGAATCACAGCCTTCATTGTCTCCTTACCATCTTCTCACAGGAATCATGGCCTTCGTTGTCTCCTTACCATCTTCCCACAGGAATCATGGTCTTCATTGTCTCCTTACCGTCTTCCCACAGGAATCATGGCCTTTATTGTCTCCTTACTACTACTACATTAAAATTCTCTTTATGTTTGTATATCTCATTGTGTTATATCTAAATTCCTAGAATTTCATTATGAGAAATTTCAAACATGTAGAAGAATTTAATAATTTTGCAGTAGGTGTTATAATCATCCATTTACCTTCTACCATTAGTGCTGTCCATTGTATCTATCCTGTACTCATCAGTCTTATTTCTGACATAACTCAGAGTCAACCGCAGACATTGGTATACTTTCCTGTGCTTCACAGCATAGAGTCACCATCAGAATTCAGTATTTATTTAGTTGTTCACCTTTTATGTTATTTTAAGGATAATGATTTGTACATTTGCTGAGTTCCAGCAAATGCGTGGACGTATTTAACATTAATTACTAATAATAGATAGCGCATTACCATCACCCCAAGAAGTGTCACAGCCCTTCCTCAATCAGACTTTGACTTTTGTCTCCCAGAGACTCTTTGTCTGAAATTTCCCCACCTTATATTAGTTATTCTGTTTCTAGAATGCCATGAAGCCAGCCATGTAAGTTTTGTGTTCTTTTGTTTCTGGCTTCTTTGACGTATGCTTTTTGAGAGGCATCTGTATTGTGAGCTTTAATTTTTTCTTTTAAAGATTTTTTTCATTTTGATTTGGTTTTGGTTTTTGGTTTTTTGAGTCAGGGTTTCTCTGTAGCTTTGGGGCTTGTTCTGGACCTAGCTCTTATAGACTAGGCTGGCCTTGAACTTACAGAGATCCACCTGTGCCTGCCTACTGAGTGCTGGGATTAAAGGTGTGTGCCAACCAACTCTTTTAAAGAATGTTTTATTGGTATAGTCATTTTTATATTCTTTTGCTCAATGTTAGATTGAGATATCCCTTTCCCGCACTCAAACTGTTTATACATTTACATTTAGTGTGGGTTTGCTTTTTCAGTCCACTCCTAACACCTAATACTTTTATATTATTTGCATTCTACACAATTTAACTGTACCACCTTGCTTTATCTCTGATTTTTTTCTCTATTTCCTCTTGCTTTCTTAGAGTTCATTACTCTGATAACTCACTATTTGATTTAGAGTCAACAGTATATACTTTTATGAACTCTATTTTCAAATGACTTCAGTGGTTAACCTATATATAGCAAGCAGCATTATAACAGTCTTGCACTTTCTTCCTTCCTACCTTTGTGCTAGGATTGGGATGGGTGAGGTAATTGCTTTGCTTATATTTTTGCTATAAAATTCATAATCTAGTTATTAGTTCTTAGGGACACGTAAGCAGTAAGTGAAACGGTCCTATGTGTCTGCTTTGTGTTTATATTTTTAGTGCTCTCTACCGTCTGGCTCTGTTTCCTCTGCGTGTTGGCTTCCCTTTAAGAATTGCTAAGCTTTAATATCACTAATGATCGGTTCCTTCAACTTGTATATGTCTGTAAATGTTTACTATGCCTGCCTTCAGCAAATATTTGTTAAGAGCTATGGAATTACCTGATACTTTTTTCTATTCTACTTTAACAATATTTCTTCACTGCTCGCAGCGGGAAGTCTTCTGTAACTGTCAGTCTCAGCGGTTCCTCTGGATGCAGTATGTCATTGTCCTCTGGCTGCTGCTCTGGCTTTTTCTCAAAGCCCTGGTTTCAGTGAGCTTGGTGGTGACACTCCTTGTTCTCACATCCTTTTGCTAGTGTTCTTGGACTTGTGAGTCATAACTGTCACTTGTATTGGAAAATTCTTTGCCATTATTTTTTCCTGTATTCTTTTGGACTTCTCTCCTACAAGTCCAGCACCAATCTTTTTTCCCCTCCTTCTTTTGGTAGAGGAGGTTCTAGTCCAGAGTCTCTTCATGCTGGGCAAGTACTCTGCAACTGAGCTGCACACCAGCCCAGCTTCCCTTATTTTGTCCCTCCCATGGTCAGTCTTCTTTAGTTGAACCCAAGGGAGCTCAGCTATAATAATCACTACAAATGTCCTTCCCCAGTGAGTAATCTCATCATCTCTGTCATTTGGACATTGGTTTTGGTTGGTAGACCATATTATACTTGATTATTTTTGCTTAGGGACAAAACACTGAATTATAATTTGTGGAAGTTTATGTAGTTTTTATATTTCTATAACTACTCTTGACCTTTGTTCTGGGATACACTTTGGTTAGTTATGAGTATCTTGATCCTTTTAGGCCTTCTTCTTAAGTTCTGTGAAGTGGAATCAAGCAGTGTTTAGTTTATGGCTAATCTTCCCCCTTTACCGAGTCCACAACCTTTCTGAACAATCTGCCTAATGGCTTGTGAACTACAGGCTGGTGGAGATAGGAATTGGTTCTGGTCTTTGTAAACTCCAGGTCTTCCTCCTTCACTTCTGTTGGGTGCTCTCCTCTCGAGACTGCAGTCGTTTCCTTGCATGTGCTGTGCAGACTGGTGCTCAAGTAGTGACGTGCGCAGCTTTGTGAGACCTGACTTCTCTCTGTACGTCAGATGCGAGCCATTTTCTTCCCGCAGACTCAGACTGGCCAGTTTTTCTCCCCATGGTTTTTTTTTTTTAAGTGGGCATTCCATTTCCATTGTTCCAGAAATTTTCTTTTCTGTTGTATTGCTTGACCCTTCTTATCAGATACCAAGTAACCTTAAGTTCCAAGTCTTTTTCCTGTTGTTTTTTTTTAATCTATACTGTTTTAACCACTTTTTTTTTTTTTGCCAGCGATTCTAGATTTTGATAGCTCTGTAACAAAGGTTTTTCAGCATTAGTGCTTGAAACCCTAAGCACTGGGCTTGGTGTTTTTGCAGAAATATTGTTTCCAGATTTAAAACTTATAACAACCTTTTCAAATTAAAAATTTATTATAAAGAACTTGTAAATAAAAAACATCACATAGAAAAATTAGCCAGGCCCAAACTCTATACATCTCAACTAACTTCTTTAGAACAGCCATTCTAAAATTGGGGAACTTCACATTGGATCTTACAATCCACTTATCAGCTATGTTTGTTTATACTTATCCACTAGAAAAAAATTCATTACAAAGATAAAACTAGGAAAACAGTTAGATTTAGATCCTCTTTCATGATTCTTGAATCTTTTACCTTAGCTATGCTTTTGAACCTTAGGTCCGTCATGCTAATTGTATTGGTAGTACAAAACTGAGTATTACTTGCTGATTTGCATGAGCCTTTATACCTTGGACTCCTTTTGCTGTTCCCCTTTATGCTGCATCCTGAGTCCTAAAGCATCTTTCAGCTGGTGTCTTGGTCAGGGTTCTATAGACGGACAGACCTCTAGAGAGAATCTTTTATTACAAGAGGGTTTATTAGATTGGTTTACACGACACACTTAGAGTCTTCCAAAGATGGCCATCTCACACCTGTGCCCTGTGAGCTGCCTTTCAGCTGATTCCAGGTCCAGTTGACAACCGAGATTAAACATCATAGTTTTTCTAAAGTCACCTTGTGTAGGCTACAGTTATAAGGCCATATTAACATATACCATGTAGTATATCATATGTATTACTCTTAAGTGTATAAATCTTATTTTTATTTTATGTGTGTAGGTGTTTTGCCTGAATGTACTGTATGTCTGAGAATCTTTTGGTACCTGGTGTCTGCAGAGGTTAGAAGAAAACATCACATTCACTGGAGATCTGAAACTAGAGTTACAGCTTGTGAATCGCTGTATAGGTGCTGGGGAATGAACCTAAGTTCTTTGGGTGGGTAACTAGTGCTCTTAATTGTTGAACCATTTCCCTAGTCCCTGTGCTCATGTTTTATTACCAGATATTCTGATGACTCAACACTAATATTTTTTGCCTTTCTAAATTTTATTTAAATTATTTTATCCAGGATTATTTGTAGAAAAGAAGTATTAGTTGTCTGCTTATGATATAAACTCAAAGGCAAAGTTTTCTTAGACTGTTTTTTACCTTTTAGCCCATATTTTTATTTATCTTGTGATTTATTTTTATATTAGCTTTTAGCATGAAACGGTTGGTTGAATAGTAGAAATTAAAGCTGCCAAACAATGAATTATTCTACCTTTGAGAATTGTTTCTCTATATTTCTTTTCTCACAGAACATACCGTAGGAGAGGTAATTAAGTTAGATTCTAATGGCTCTCCAAGAAAAGTCTGGGGGAAAAGCCCTACAGATTCTGTCCTGAAGATACTAGGAGAAGCTGAACTCCAACCCCAGACAGAACTACTAGAAAACACAGCTTTTAAAAGTGGTAAGCACAAGAAGTAGTATTATAAAAATTAATGTGTTAAGGTGTTTCCACTTTCTTGTGTGGAATTAGTCTACCTGTCCACCTTCAGGGGGTTGGTTGTTCTAAATAGTAATGGTTTCTGCCCTTGTCAGACCTGGATGAAATCTAAAGAATAGGAAATCTGGATGAGGGAGGTGGAAAAGTCCAAGCATGTTTTCCATTAGGGAAAATGTTGAAACAGTTTATTAAGATTCATGGTGTATTTGTGAAGAGATTCGGGAGTTAAATTGAGTAGAAAAAAATGTCTGTAAGTATGTGTGACATCATTCTGGAACTGAGATGGAGTGCTGACACAGACAGGAGGGAAGACATTCTGGATTCCTGAGCCTTAGGTGTTTGGGTATTAGAGTATCACCTGAGGAAAAGCAACTGTGTATACAGAAGCCTTCCCACTGGACAGCTTGTTCACAAGACAGAGAGTGGATGAACAGTGTCCAGACATGAACAGTGCCTAGGCATGCACGTTACCTTTTGCATTTTTTTTCTATTGCTCCTCGAGATTGAGCATGAACTCATAGCTGAAGCATATGAAAAGTTGACTTAGGACATAGGATCCTGACATGTTCTGTAGGTGTCAGCTAGAATCTGAGAAATAGACTGTGGAAAGAGCCTGTGTACATT